CACCGTTGCTTCTGCATTCTTCGCATGCAGCGCTTTACCATGCGTTAGAATAGGTGAAGACCAGGTAAATATCTAGGTTATCCTGTCCCAACACATCAAGGCGCCGCTATTTAGGTCCGGTTTGCCACCAGTTTCCAGAAGACCGTACAAGCCTCCAAAACTTCACCAGAATGCCACCAAAAATATACACCTAATTTTAAAAGAAAAATTCCCCGGGGGCAGCCCCCGGAACCTCCCCTAGCGCAGAAGAACATGATGGGATAAACTGGTCACCCAAACCCTCTGGATCCGCCCCTGAAATTGTTACTAACGGTTGTCGGAACAATAAGCGCACGCCTGATAAATACGCTCTCATTCCAGCACTATCAGACGAGATAGGCCTCAGTTAATCTGTACCACACTCTTACGGCCGAAACCCGGAGAGTCGCCTGTATAGACACCGCCGACCGCTTCTATAGAAGGGGCTTCACCGTAAATATGGCCTCAAATCAACGGCGAATTCTCCTTATACTAGATACGATATTCCATGTCTGATAACAGGATCCCCGTAAAACTCCCACTCAGGAGCAATGCTAAGAAGCCCGTATAACAGACGGTTACTCTTTAGAGGCATGTCTGTTAGCAGGTTTAAATTCTGTCCCCAACTAAAACACATGCCGATCATACGTGCAGCGACCAACGTTCATCTTGCAGCCAACGTCGCTTGCAAGAGACTTTAGACTACTGCTAGACTTTACGTTGTTACGACGACTTAGTACTTTGTAGGCACTTTAGTAGTCGGTAGTTAGCCGCTACCTATAGGACTGTAGCCTCCAGCAGGTCGGGGTGCCCTAGCCTGTAGACCTTTTGTAGACTTGAATGTTTCACTGTTAGAGACACTTAGTAGCTAGTAAACGCTTAGTAGACTGTTTCAGTAAATTGGGCGCAGCGTGGGGGCTTCTGCAGTAAGGGTTGGACTCGGCGCGTGTGCATTACCGGCATGCCATCTCCACCACGTTGAGCCATCGGTGTTGTGTGATGAGCAGTGAAAGGTGCCGCAGGTGACCACGAGCTGGAGGAACTGAGGTGGGGCCTTGACGTCGGCCGACCAGTGGTGGCGAGCCGCTGAGCAGTCGGCGAGCACGACACGGATAGGCCTGCGGGCAGTGAGGCGTAGCGTCGCGGGCCCAGTCAGCCCTCTACACTTAAGCTCGTTTGGTCTTGGCGCAACAAAATACACGCTCCAGCGTTAGATGTCTTGTTGCCACGCGACCGACGATTAACCACTTGAATCTGACTCTATCATGTGCTGAGACAATCTCGCTCAATAGTCTAATCACTTATCACGCCGTCACACGGACACATGTTTCAAGTCTCCGGAACATATTTTTTAACATTTCTTTAGTGAGCAGGTTGTGTAAAACATGTAACAACAGGTACAACCAACATTCTAAAGGCTGTAGGTTTATGTTGTAGGCGAAACTTTATTTATTAATTCAAATTATCCAGGTAATGAGCCATGATTAAACAGCATTTTGAAACTACTTTAAGACATGATTAGGATTAGATGCATGAGAGAATTATGACTAACAATTTTTTATTCTGTCTTGGTTATCGCTTGGCAAAATGATATCCTCTTTTTCCGTCGACCTCCCAAGAGAAAGTTCAAATAACCGTTCCTTTTGATCACTACGCTGCTGAACGACCAGCTCTACCACAGTGACGAGATTTTAGTAAAAGGCCTCGCCACTTGAACTGAAAAAACATCAGCACGAAAACGCCTACACCAGCAGGCAATTGAATCCGCGCGCACACGACTTCTATATGTGCATTGGACCGAGTTGCAACCCAGCTAATGCGCCCCTCGCCGAGCTCGCTGCGCCTCCCTTTGTTTCACTCGCTCTCGCCTCGCGCCATTGAAAACTTGCCAAGAGAACGCAGGCCGCATCTCAATGCACAGCCGCGTCGCCAGTAAACGATTTGATCGCACGAACATTATGGACAACGTTCACCCGCGACGGGTGATTAGCATGGCGGAGCCGAAAAGTGCGGATCCAGAAGAAAATTGTAAGAAAATTATAAATTTCATTTTCCCCAAGTTCAAAAAAAAATCAGTAATATTTCTAAAGGACGGAAAAGTCTGGTCTACAGACAGACAGTTAAAACAGCCCACAGTGCATTAGGGGGCGTGCGGGAACTCGTGGAGCGGCGACGAATGCAAATATACCCTCATCGGTCGCCGTGTCAGATGATACGCGACGACGAAACAGGTAAGACTAGACACTCAGGTCCGAGTTTTTGGGGAGCAACATCATACATCGGTAGCTATGTAGAGTAACATATATCGATGAGATGGCTAACCTACACGTGGAGGGCGGGTTGCTAGCCTCACAGTCCACAGTCAGACAGACGATGTCACAGTCATCCACAGTCACATCAGGCAGACATGTCACGAGTATCACACAGTTCTTATTCAACACGACGATGTCACAGTATCCAAGTCACACCCTAATTCAAGCTAGGTCGAGCTCAAGCGGGGGAAGAGCGCGAGAAGTCTGGACTCTACACGGGGGTGATAAGCCCAATCATGGCCGTTCTCACAGGTGTTCCACTGTATGGGGTAGCAGCCTTCCTAGCGAGTGCCTCTCCGTGAGTGCACTCTGTCTAGTTACTTCTGTGTCACCTCTCCTTATCTTATCATTGGCCTTACCTTCTTGTGTCATCTACCGTCTTCCTTAACTTCTCGGTATCATTATGACTTCTGTTGTCAACCACCGTCTCCTTTATCTTATCCATGAGCTGGACGTTCGGGGTTGTGTCGAGCGCCGGCCGCTGCGGCTTATGGCGTGGGTATCGAGGTGTGTGTACGAGAGTGCGTGTGTGCGACGTGAGCGCTCTCGGTGAGTCTGGAGTGCGGGAGGTGGAGTTGAGCGTGCTGTTCAGCGGATCCTCTCGCTATGCTTAGCATTGATTAACTTCTGTGTCACTATTCGCTTAGCTTATATATTCTACTCGGTGTCACCAATTGCTTTTCTCTCTGCCGTTTTATCCCTGGTGAGTCCATGCATTAGGGCTCTGTGTCACTACCTCTCCTTATCTTATCATTGCATTACTCTCTGGTGTCCACACCTCTCCTCATGCTTATCATTGCCGAGTGTGACTGTGCGTGTGTCACTACCCGTCTCCTTATCGCCTTACTCATTGCATGTGACTATCCGTGGTCACCTCTCCTTATTCCTTATCAATTACCGCTCTGACTTCCTGTATCCCACCAACAATCTCTTCTCCATCATATCCTCCTATCTTATTGTTATTACTTCATGTGAATCACGCAATGCTCGCTATCTTGATCACTTCGGATTACTTCTCCGGTGTCACTACCTCTCCTGAGTGCGGTGTGAGTGCAGTGTGGATACTTCGTGGGGGTGGTCAGCCAGTCCTCGTCGCGTTATCTTATGCAGTATCGCTTCCTTACTTGCGTGTCACGCCAGCTCTCTCCCTTAATCTTATGATTGGCTGTACCTTGCTGAGTGTTCAGCTACCAGTCTCCTGTATCGCTATCATCTGATCCACTCTCCCTCTAGGAGATGTCGGACCTCACCTCTTCTCTTCCCCTTATGTCTTCATCATTGTACACTCTGTCATTTGTCACTACCTCTTCAATCTTATATCTGCATATCTTCTTGGTCACCACCTTTCTCTCTTATTTTCTTAACTCATTGCTTTAACTTCTGTGTCGCTGTACCACCTTCTCCATTGATCCTTATCTACTTGCTCCTACTTCTGTGCTCACCTTCCTTACTTATCATTGATTACTCTCGCTGTCAGCCTACACTCTCCTTATTCTTTATCATTGATTACTTCGGTGTCATCTACCTCTCCTTATACCTTTATCCATCTTCGCCATTACTTCGTGTGTCACCACCTCTCCGCTTAGTTCTTATCTCCATCCCGTCTTTGACTTCCCTGTTCGTCACTAGCCTGCTACACTTTATTCTTATCATTCGTCTTTACTTCTTCGTGTCACCACCCTCTCCTTATCTCATCAATGATTACCTCCTGCTGGCACCACCCTCTCCCTTATCTGGATCAATCGCTACTCTGCTGTCACCACCTTCTCCTTATCTCTATCATTGATTAACTTCTGGTCACCACCTCTGTTCCTATGCTTATCCATTGGCCCTTACTTCCTGTTTCACCACCTCTCCTTATACTTATCATTGATGACTTCTGCTGTCCACACCTCTGCCTTATCTTCATCGATTGAATGTGACGTCGTGGTGTCACGCTCTCCGTATCTCCTATCAGATTGCTTACTTCTGCTGGTTCACGCCCACCTGCTCCGTATCTTATCATGCTTACTTTTCTGTGTCTAACCACCTCTCCTTATCGCTTATCTGATTCGGACATGTACTTCTGTGTCACCAGCCCTACCTTATCTTATCATTGATTTACTCTGCTCGTCACCCTCGCTTACTATCAATGATTACTTCTGCTCACCACCTCCTCCTTATCTTAATCATGGATTACTTCTGTCACCACCTCTCCTTATCTTATCATTGCTTACATCTGTCTGTCACCGACGCTCTCCTTAATCTTATCAGGCTTGATTTAGCATTCTGCTGGTCACCCTTCTCCGTTATCTTGACTCATTGATTACTTCTGTTTGTCACCCTCACCTCTCCTACTTATCATGGTCTCTACTCTCTCTATGTCACCTCATCCTTATCTTGAATCATTTCCGCTACTCTACTGTGTGCACCCTTCCTCATCTATATCAGTTGCATATCAGCTTTCTGTGCTCAGCCACCTCTCCTTATCTTATCATTGATTACTTCTGTGTCACCACCTCTCCTTATCTTATCATTGCTTACTTCTGTGTCACCACCTCTCCTTATCTTATCATTGCTTACTTCTGTGTCACCTCTCCTTATCTTATCATTGTTTACTTCTGTGTCACCTCTCCTTATCTTATCATTGTTTACTTCTGTGTCACCTTTCCTTATCTTATCATCGCTTACTTCTTTGAGCGTTGGAGTGAAGCGTGTTGGTGGCAGGCACGTGCGTGACCAGCTCTCTTGCCTGCATGAGCACGGACAGTAGCGGTGCGTAGGCGTCCCTCAGTAGCTTGCCCGTTCTCGTTCCGTACAGCTCGTTCTCTAGCGGCACGGGCTGGCACTTGTCCGACGCGCAAGCCGCCAGAGCCTCGCACTGAACTGCAACGATACGCACATTGTGTTAGAAGGGGTGAGGCGAACACACGGGGGTACAGATAACACAACGATGCACACGCTGCTTTAGAGAGGGATGAGAGCGAAAACACAGGGGTGAACCATAGAAATATATAGCGACACATAGACTATCTAGTATAATAATTATATGGGGGGACAGAAGGGGCGAGGCGAAAACATGGGGGTAACAGAAAACACACTCTCGCAGCCCAGGGGTGAACTACACGCGCTAACTTAACATCTATACACCAGTGACTATACAGACAACTCCAGCTTTCGCCTCTGTGTGTTAATAGAATTTGCTTTCCTATTTTGACTATATCTCTTATTATGAACGAGGCATTGTAAAGGTTTTGCTAATTACAAGAAGAAGAAGAGAAAGAGGAATAGGAGGGGGGAAGGAGTAGGAGGAGAAGAGGAGAAGGAGTAGGAGGAGAGGAGGAGAGGAGGAGAGGAGGAGCAGGAGCAGGAGGAGAAGGAAGAGGAGAAGAAAGAGGGGGAAGAGAATGGCAGAGGAGGAGAAGGAAGAGGAGGAGAAGGAAGAGGAGAAGGAAGAGGAGAAGGAGAAGGAAGAGGAGAAGGAAGAGGAGGAAGAGAATGGGGAAAAGAAAAGAAAAAGACGATGACAAAGAAGAAATAGTAGTAGAGAAAGAAGCTGAAAAAGAAGTACAAGAAAAAGGCCCTAGCAGTAACAACACCCACTCAGCTTCCCCAGCTAGCTGTATCTGTGTCTCTTGCACTCACCCGTATCCCACTGTGCTTGAGCAGAGACCTGGTACAGCCTCCTACACACGATCGACACCGAATTCAATGACAACGACGGGTAGCATTCGCCTGCAACACAGAGTAGTGACAGCCAGCTTCATTACCCAGTACAACACTCACGCGGCTGTCATCCTGAATTCATGCTTACTCACGTACGACAGGAACCGTCGAGCGCCGTCCACGGTCGTAAGCCTATGTGGCCTACTTAAGCCTATTTAAGTAAAGGATGGGCTGCTTATGGAAACACCCATCGGTTAGAAATAAGTCGAATAAGATAAGTGTTTACAATATGAATATGCATCGCACTACATAGGCGCATGCAAACGCATGCGCACGCATACACACGCGCACGCACGCACGCACGCACACACGCATACTCACACACCTACACACACGCACACGCACGCGCACGCACGCGCACACACACACGCATACACAC